GAGGGAAAATGTTTAATATAAAAACATCTGACGAAGTACCTTCAGGATATATTTTCTGCATCAAAGAAATAGCTCTTGGCAACAGTCACTCTACCCTGACGAGGAAACTTTCGAGCGCGGTTCCCGATGGTGATGGTTACACGCGCAGGGAAAGCCTGTGGGTGGGGACAGGAGGAGGCAGGCCAGGGGGCCCGGCCGACAGATGGTTGTGATTAGCTGGACGCAGCCAAGTCATCTGCAGGAATGTCAGGTCCCCTCAGCAGGCCTGCTGGTTCCCCCGCTATGCAGGCCACAGAGGTGCAGAGGGGCAGGGGCCATCCGCCTCCCGCTCAGAGTCACAGCCCCACTCAGAGTCACAGCCCCGACAGGCGCTCAGGACCCCCTCGGCCCAGCAGCCTCCTCTCAGGCCCCACCCACCGCCATCTCTCGGGCCAGCGGGATCCAACGCGCAGAGCTGCCCTGGGGCTTAGAGGATAGCTGTTCAAGCTGAATTTCGGGTACCAGAACACAAAAGCTCCAAAGCTCAAGGACCACATTTAAATCCTGAATCCTCCCTGGACAGAAAGAGCACCTTATGACACAGGGGAACCCAATGGGTACCAGACTGCCTGGGTTCTAGTCCTAGTTCTTCTGTCTAGCTGGGTGGCCTTGCACAAGTTACTTAACCTCTCTGTGCCCCAGTTACTTCTTCCTTTACTTGGACTCACAGAGTCGCTGGGGGTTCCATGCAGTGACGTGTACACAGCACTTAGAGTGCCCAGCCAGAGCTGTTAGCTGAGCTCATTAAGCGAGTGGTGACCTTCCTGTCTATGCGCTCTTCCTAGATCTCTCGGTCCCAGGCAGAAACTCATTCATTCTACAAGGAACCCCTGCTACAGGTTGGGCCTGGTGCTTGGAAGTCAGAGGAGGTCCTTCATAACAAAGTATGAGGGGGTTTTAAAAGTTCATGGAAAATATCTACTTTGGAAAAAAAAAAGTATGGATTTCAGGTTTTTTGCACCAAAATAAACTTGTACTTTAATTCCATTTCCCATGAACTTGTTTTTAAGAATTATTTTATTCACTGTCATTACTTTACTTTTTTTTTTCAGTTGACTAGAGAGAGACAGAGAAGGAAAGCGAGAAGGCAATCCGCCAGGTCTGGGACTCAAACTACAGTCGGCCATGTGGGAGTCCAGCCACTCCAACCACCACACGACCTGCTGGCCCCTCCCATGAACTTCTTTAGTTTTGGTTTGTTTTTTTGCTGTGAGAGGCTTGCACTTAACCAGAGACAGGGAAAGTGGGGAAATAGCCCCCAGAGGGGACGTTCAATCTGCCATCCCTTCTCCTCCACTGTCCTCCTGAGATTTGGTGAGGGTGAGGTGCCCTCCCTCAGGCCAGGGTAGCCCTGCTCTATGGTGCCAGCTCCCTCCGGCTGGGTCGTACACACACACACACCACTGGCTCAGGGACGCAAACCTCGCAGGTGGCCGCCTTTACCACACTGCTACCCGCTGGCCCTCCCACAAGCTTCCTGAAGTCCAGGGACCATATCCTTCTGTTCCAATGTTCAAGACAACCCCTCTGGACCAGCTCCCCAGGCCCCCCATGCTCCCACATCTCCCCTCTAGCCACAACTCTCAGAGCATTCGAGCCACCGTGGGCCTCCCTGCTGTGCACGGCGGTTCCTGCTACCGGACGGGATGGCGTGGTGAGCTTTCGGTCACCCTGTAACATCCAATTCAGACACGCCCACTCCGTGAAGCCTCCCTTGAACACCCACACCCACCCCAAGAGCCCCCACTCTCATCTCCGTGCCAGTCCTCGCCTGGGTCGGCACCTGGTCCGCCATCTCTGCTTCCGGCCTCCCTCTCCTTCTTCTAGACCATCAGCGCCCAGAGAAGGCCCAGGCTTTCTCCACCTTGTATCCCCTGCCACTGCCACGCAGGAAGTTCTTAATGATAAGCGTGCAATACAGTGACCCGAGGCTCAAAAGCCTTGTTGGGAAATGTATAGCCCCGGGGGCTTCTGTCAGGGGCCCCGGGGAACCTGTGTGGCCCTCAGGGGGTCAGCTGCCCTCCTGGAGCCTTGGGTTCTTCTCATCAGTGTACCCCATCACAGCCCCCAAGGTTCGGTACTCTGGGGTAGGGAGGGGCCCCTCCATGTGGCCTTGCCCCAAGCATTAGTTATGCTCTGAGACAATGGGGGAAGAGGAGCTGAAAAGCTGCAGGCCAGAAGCCCCAGCTCTCTGCCCACCCTCCAGCCCAGGACTGGTACACAGCCTGGAATACATTGGCACCATGGGGCCCTGAGCCCAGTGACACAAGGGTCCCCAGCACAGCTAACCAAACAGACGAGAGTGCCAAGGATCCGAGGTCACACGGCAGGGGAAAGGCGAAGCTGGGCATAGTCCTTCCTCTGGCACAGTGCCCACCACCCACACTGCTTGACACACCCAGGCTGGCAGGACCCCTCCATAGCAGCTGGCTCTTCCAGGACTCCCTGCCACCTGTCTGTCCTGCCCTTTGTCCCTTAACCGCCTCTACCCCAGCCTCGAACCACTAGCCCAGGAGAAATACCCAGGAGGCTGAAAGGAGGGGAGACTTATTTTGGGGGGAAGACTTTCACTCTGAATATACTGTACCAAATTCACAGGTTCAAATTTCGTTGCAACAGAGGTAAGAGGACAAAAATTTGGGCCAGCTAGGTGGAGCAGTGACTAGGTGCTGAATCCCACATGGGCTGACTGCACAGTTTCCTGGGCCTGGTGGCTTGAAAAATACACTGGACATTTGTGTGCATGCCCCAAATCCTAAGAGGATGAAGAAGGGGCTGCACTGTGGCCACCCCCACCCCGCCCGGGGGTCTTTCTCACTTTCTGGCTCTCTCTCTCTCTGGCAAATACACATACCCTACAGCAAATTTAAGGGAAGGAGAGAGAGAGAGAGAGGACGAAAACCCCATCTGACTTTAGTGTCGAGAGGTGGGGCCTTGGGAAATTAGACTCTGGAAGGACCCCTGGCCGGACCCTCATAAGTTTATAAGGAGTCTCTCAGAAGACACATAGGCCACGCCTGCCCTCTGCCGTGAGGCCCCAAGATGCCCCTCCCCAGATGCCGGCGCTATGTTCTAGGACTTCTCAGCCTCCAAAACCATGAGCCAACGGCTGTTCTTACCAATTCCCCAGTTGCAGACATTCAGTCATCAAGCAACAGAAAACGGAACAGAGTGGTCGGTCAACGCTGAAAAATGCACCGCAGGGCCTGGAGGTGGGCGGCAGACCTGCCAACTTTGGAACCTCCCAGCCCTGCCCCAGAGGAGGCGAGGAGGCTGGGCCACAGCCAGTGGAAACAGGCTGGTCCTGTCCACCACCCGAGGCTGCAGCCTGACCCTGGCGATACAGGGGGCCTGGGCCACACCCAGGGGCCACCTCTTACACCCGCGGGCACTGATCCAGATCAGTATCATTGTGTCAGCGCACCACAGCCCGAGCTCCAGGTAAGACACCCTCCTACCCATGCAGTCCACCTAGATTAAACACATTCTGATGGCTGGCAGCGGCCTGGGCTCGAGGTTTAGAAGTGCTAAGCCCAGTGCTTTAAAATCGTGTGTGGCTCCCATCCACCTAGGCACATAGAAAGAACGGACTGAGAAGTGAACCTCTGTTCGTCTGGCCGGGTCTCAGGGGAAACCATTCTAACACAACAGGGTAAAAGGCAGAGACTGAGCGAAGTGGCCCAACTGGGAGGGCCACCAGAGGACAGGGCAGACACAAGCAGGACCTGGACGCACAGACCCAGCACCAGCTGAGCCCTGAGCCCACTGTGTGGTCCTGGGCGAGTCACTGTCCTGCTGCGTAGTCCAGTCCCTCCGCCTTGGCTCTCCACGGCTGTGCACACCATGACAGGGAAGGGACGGGCAAGGGCCAGCCGGAGTGAGCAGCCGACGTCTGGTCACCCTGAGAATCAGGGCACAAGTACAATGAGAATGATGGACTTTGGGACATGAATTTATCCGAGGTACATTCAATTCGTGCCCAAAAAGTGGGAGATAGCACTGGCCTTGGAGACAAGCAGCTCTGCCACTGCATGACGCCAGGCTAGGGATGTGACCTCACTGTCCCCGCTGCGGCTACTCCATGAAGTACAAGGCTGGCCCCTGGTGACCACTCAGCGAGCAGCCACGATGGCTGCAGCTGCACTGTGACCGCGACACAGTGGCTCCGCGCCGGCAGATCCCGCCCAGCCCACCGGCACCC